AGGGAAGAAGAAAAAGGGGGAAATATATACATGTAGATGTAAAATATAGAGTATAAAGAAATTTCACAAACATGTTTAAATATAAGAAATAAAAAATTCCTCACATATTTTGAGAGAGATCTTAATTTAAAAAAAAAAAAAAACAGAAATGTGTGACGGGATAATGTATGCAAATAAAATTCGCAAAATATACATAGTAGAAGTAAACTAGAAAGTTAAACGGCTTATAGTTTTACGAACGCATGTATAATGAATATTTTTGTCTTGTCTTCTCTAGAGATTACGTCATTATTATTCGTATTATTTAAATACACTTTTAATTACACGATAGCACAATAGAGTATTTTATTATCGTAATATAATTTTACCGTAACTTATATTTTTAATTAACGCCAATCGTCTCTAAATGCATATAAAGTGCAACAAATTTGCATATACATATAAAAGTAACTTGATTGTGTTTCTTAACAAGATATTAAAAAATGTTGTTTACGAAACTCATTTAGAAAGCTTATCGAGGAGTCGGTGACTTTCCGGTTATACCACAAATAACGGAACGTCCTATATAACTCGTATTACATGTCACATAGAAAATGCGAGAAAGTTGGCGATAGTAAGAAATATTTTATCGCATCCAGATGTTCGCCGCAATCGCTTAAAATATATTTTATTATCAACTGCACGAGAATGCAAAAGCCATTCGTGCGACGAAGAGATCGCTGGAATGGTTTTACGTAAGATTTCCTGTTTCGCTTCGTGAATATGTCGTTAGTTTTTAAAGGTATAATCTAACGAGGATATAGAGAATATCCGTGCCGGCCGCGATCAGGGTCGAGGTGACGCTTATTTAGAGTCGGAGAATCACCCGCGACACACGTGAGATTCTCTCGAATGTGTCAGGCGTGCGACAAATCGATTCATCGTGGCGCGAATAATACGAACGGCCAAACGCGTGAGTGGTCGATTCCTCGATACCTCGTGTTCTATGCAAATGCACGGTGGACCACTTCTTCTTGCAATTGACCTCCCGAGCACGCGTATAACGTCACACGATAAGTTGATGATCTTGGAGAGAACGTGCTTTGTAAAACACGGTAACCGAGTTAAAATCTCGTAAAGTAGGACGAGGGATGGATTATTCGTGTTTCGAGATTACGTCAAGTAGTTTCATGAATTATATTTCTGTCAGATTGGTATGCAAATATATAAACGCATACATTATTCGGGATTGAAATAAAATAAAACATTAAAATTAAACAAAGTTTTGTTTTCGTTTACAAATAACTATAAATAATTTGTAGTATTATTTTTAACTATATAATTAAATTTGGCACGCTTTTTTCGATAGAATTTGTTGAAGAAATATTTCTCATCCTTTAATCTCTCTGTAAATTCTTGTTTGGAACAATCGAGGAAACGATTTTCTGAAAAAATAATTAACGGCGTTTTTTGTCTAGTTATATGAATCGCAAATTTTTGCAATCTACTGGGAATTATTTGCGACAAGCACCACTATCTCGTCTCTTTCATTCATCTCGCGTTAATACAGTTGATAATTATGAATTCTGCTGGCGCGAGTGATGGACCATCGTGACGTTCGCAAGAACGTAGGTCGATTTGTTTCATTTCTGCGGCTCGTCTCGGGTGATGAATTTCACTGTCCGAGCGAGAAAACTGCGCGATAATGAATCTCCAACGTCTATAAATAAAAGTTATGAAATCTGTTGCTCATAAATGAAGGCAAGAGCTTTAGGAGGGATATTATTGTTGTAAAACGGAAAAAATAGAAGAATTTTCTAAATAATAAAAAAGATTATTATTATTATGCCTTTCGTTCTTTCTCTCTTTTTCTTGTCATACGAAATCCCGTTCCTCGCACTTCCGACTTCTTCACGATAATATCAAACATTTGTCGAGAACATCGCAATTAGCGGTGACGACGATAATGCGCGTTAAGTGCTCGTCTAAGAAAAGATTGCCTACCGGGATATTTCCATTACAGAGAAGCAACTCTTCTTGTATCAACAGGTAGACACTGGCTATATGTCAAGCGCGTATAAAATCTGATTTAATAAAGTACCCATATACGTAATGTCAGAGGGCGCGTCTGGTTAAGTGAATAGAAAAAAATCGCGAATTAACATGGGTCGGACATGCGTACACGTCGTATAATTTTATGGCTGTTAACTTGGAATATGCGGATGCGCGCATTTTTTGACACACGTCGTTAAAGATCTACGCCCTTAAAAGAAAGATTTGCAATAGTTGTTCAGGACGTCCGGTATATATATTTATAGACGCGGCAGGAAAACTCGTCTAACTGGATTGAGAGATTACACGCGCGTCTTCCTCGGTGAATTAAAAATTTAATTGAAAGCGCAGCGAGAGATGTAAAACAATTCGCTTCGCACAAAAATTAAATAATCCCAACTGTTTCTAAATCGAAGAAAATTTCCAAACGTTTCGAAATGATCTGTTCGCACACAGACACACATATCGGACAAACGTACCGAGAGCTACAAAGAAGCTGCACGTAACATTCGCGGGCGGCTTTATTGGAATACACTTCGACCGTAGTGACTGCGATAATTTATCATATACGCACGCTCGTTAAAGTCAATTGTGGTCGTTATATTGCAACGAGCTCCATTGTCGACGGTGCATCGACCGCGATCAAAAGTTGCGTCTTGCAATTTCAACAGGAAAATCTACGCGTCCGTCGCCTCGCGGCTCTTGTGTGTTGCATTCCGTAAACGTTACCACGATCCATTACGAAAGATAGCGCGAAAAGAAGAAACAGGAAAAAAAGATCGCACAATTATACATCCCTCTATCTGTAATCATAAACATTTTGTATAGCGCGTTCGAGACGCGAGATCAAGTCTGAGAGAAGATGAGTTGTAGCAGCCTTTTGAGAGATTTAATGAAATTAACAGTACAATCGCGCGAACGCGAAGGAAATATGTATGCAAGCGTTCAAACGCAAAACCGAGTGCTTTGTCTCGATTCCTCCTTCTCACGGTGCGATGTAAACATTGACTCACAAATAAAACTTTTTTAAGATAAAAAAATATAAAGAATATTATTATTATTTTTTATGCCATTTATTTCTTTAATTTTTTAATAATTACAAAAATTTATCAACAATATATGATTATATTTCTAGGCAACTTTAATACGTTCGAAAATTAAATGCTTGAAAGTTTAAATAAAGATATTTTCTTTTTACTTTATTATATATACAATTATTCTCTATGCATATTTAAAAATAATAAAATATAATAAAAATTTTTTTTTCTCAAGAATAAAATGCTGTTAATGAGTAAAGAGCGCGTTCGAGACGCGAGATCAAGTCTGAGAGAAGATGAGTTGTAGCAGCCTTTTGAGAGATTTAATGAAATTAACAGTACAATCGCGCGAACGCGAAGGAAATATGTATGCAAGCGTTCAAACGCAAAACCGAGTGCTTTGTCTCGATTCCTCCTTCTCACGGTGCGATGTTGAAATAAAGATTAGAAAAAATAACGGTTGCCTTCCCGTATCCGCGCATTCATAAATTAATATGATATGGCGTGAAAAATGATTTTAAATATGAATGTATTTATTTTCTCGAGGGAGATTTTTCGCGGCTGTCACACCTGGCGGTCTCTCTGAACAACTGTATATAAATTAAACCGCGGAAGATTATCAGAGACGATCTGACCCCCAGACCCCTTTAACGAGCGACGCGTGCTCGACGAGACGAAAATTCCAATTGCTCGCACATTCCTTGCCCGATTCTCCATTTCGCGACTCGAATACACCAAGGCGTGCGCGCGCGCGCGAGACAATCGGATTTCCAGATACGCCATTATGTACCCGAGGCGCATGTACGGTGCCCCTTTATATACCCCGTTACGGTATATATAAACGCGTTCCTAAGAGCCTTACGGTTCCCTTCTCTCCGCGTGTCGTTGACACTGCGTCCGGCAGAACGATACCGTTCGTTTCTCGCTTTTCCCTCGACCAGATCTGCTTACGTTTCGCCGATAAGCCCGGAAGAGCCGCGGCAGAATGCCGGGGAACGTCCTTGCATATCCTCGGGATCGTAGACGCGACGCGAATTACGGTGGAAGATAGCAATTTAGAAATGACAGACAATTTCATTTTTACGGATAATTTAAAGAAATTAGAGATATTTTCTTAAATTAGATAAACTGTTTTAATAGTTATTTAATACCGTTTTTTTTTTCTAGAAAGAAACACGAAAGTATCTTATTAATGCGATATAAAAAAATTTAATTTTTAAACTCTTCAATATATTAATTAAAAATTCTTGTTACTTATAATTTATAAATACGAAAGTAAAGCAAAATAAACGCTATGACTTGTTTCTTGCTAAATTTTTTGATATTAAAAAGATTATACATCTGCACATTTTTTTAAAAATAATCTATAGAAATAATTGCATTTAAAAATTAAATTTATCTGCGATATGTTGTATATTTGATAGAAGCATTTAATTAAAAATACAATCTCATACGTATAACGCGTGTGTACATGTTAGGTGTGTTGCGTTTTTTTATAAAATTTATATAAATATATAATTTAATTTCCGCTTTATGCATTATAAAAATATCTTATTTTCTAGATCGCAATCTATCTGATCTCATCAGAGTTTGTCAACAATTTTAATGCAAGCGACGAAAATTTCCGCATTACACTTCAAAGAGAGTTTCGGTTCCCAGAAAATATTCTCGGCATACGACTAATGTCTGAGAAATCGTGATTTACTAATGAGATTGCGGATCTGTAAATTCTTTCTTTCTTCGATTAAAATGTCGTTTGATTCTCAAGAAGTGATCGCATATATATTCAATAAATATATAATACATGTAGAGAGAGAGGAGGAAATTTAGATATAAATTGTGCGTAAATATATGATTGCAACTGTACGTGTATCATTTAGAAGATTGCATTCATACATCATTCTAGGGATACTACTAGCCTTCCGTTAAGCGTTTAAATCAGAGGTCGGCAACCTTCTCTAGCATTCGCAAACCGCATATTCGGCTTTTAATTTTAATAAGGGGTTTACAGGACGTAAAAGAGACTGATGCAAAAGTGTGAGCGGAGTAAAACATAACGAGGTATAATGTGGTTAAATCATACATAAAATCTATTTAGGATATTGAGGAATATATAGACGAATATTACATAAACGACAGGAAATAAGCGTAAATAGATAAATAATTATATATTTAAAAATATAAATTTATATAAGAGGGAGAGATCTCTTGTCTCACAGAGATCGAAGAGATTTATTTATAATAATTTTATTTATTTATAACTTGTTTCTTTGAAAATTACGATTTAATTATCGCAAAATATGACATTTCTTAGAAATTACAAATATTTATATTTTCCGGTATATTAGATTCCCACGCGTTAATGACAAAAGCGACCGTTCAATGACAATGCAGTCATCTTCCAAGCTGCGGTTATTCGTGGAATTAAGTAATCACGGTGGGAAATGCAAGAATAGAACGTTAAGTGCAGATAATCTCGAAGAATATATACGACTCTATAAATCCATTTCGCAGAATGTAAAACTTGTATAAAGTAATATTAAAATGTAGAGATCCACATCTCTCATCCTCTCTTCTAATTATATACCTTTTCTATACACGCGTCTGAGAGAGAGAAGGAAACAGTTTATTAATCAATTCACAAATTATTCATAAACGTGCAACTTTCAGAATGATATTTATGCATTTGCGCGTCATCGTAAAAATCGTTAATTATTCCTCTCGCAATTAGATGTATCCGAGAAATGCCGCGTTAATTGCACATGAGTCGCGGAATTGGCCGAGGTCAAAGATGCATCTGGGACGATTGCGCGAATCTCTTAACGCGGTCATGCGAAGAGATCCGGCGAATTATTACACTCGTCGTATTTCAGACATTATTATGTTGCGACGACGGTCGCCGATTATGATGGAAAGCAACGTCGAGACAGTTAGAGCGCGGATTTCACTCCACCAGGTACCGAGATCCTCTAATGACGAGGAATGATTGCTCGCGGGTTAATCGCCGACGAACTCGCCACGCGAGGAAAATCAATTGTTCCTTCCTCCCCGTCCTTCTTCCTCTCTTCCCTCCCCCCTCCTCTCCTCGTTGCACAGGCACCCTCTTTGCGAGATCGAGAATTACAGATGAACTCGATGATAGAGGCGCCTCGCGATTTGCTATGCATAGTCATCGCGCAAGCGATCTCGAGGCTTCTCCTAATCGCGGAAGGAATCGATTACAATGGTTTCACGTGCGCCGCGTTAATGCAACGTTTATTGCATTATTTATGATATACCGTACGAATAACGACCGCTGCTATCACGCGGGGATTTATACGATACCGTTGCATATATTAGCGAGCACGTGAAATTGAAGGGTTCGAGGCAATACAATGCACCAAATAAGAGAGGCTTGGTAATTTTTAACTTTGTACATTTTACCATTAATTAGCAAGTAGCGTTTCTTGTGTCGCACAAATTTTAGGAGATTCTTTTTTTTTTTTAATTATAATTCCTCGAGCTGATAAAAAGATACCAGTAAAAAAAGTGAAATTCCACAAGATAGAGAAAATGTTCTTAACATTTTATACGCTAAAAAAACAATATTGCATAGGACACCGCGATTTTTTGACATTTTATGACATTTTGCGAAAATCTAACAACTGATAGAATCACCGGCAATCATATAAATATGAAAAAATTAATTAACGCTGTCAACAATTAAAACTCCTTAAAAAAAGAATAGAGTTAAAACTGTAGAAAAATATAATTAATTATGCTTATATAAATTTGTCTATAATAGATAGCTTTTAATGTGCATCGGTGCGTATTAGTGCATCCAACTGAATTCATAAATTAAAAAATTAAAATTGAATAATATAATTACAAAAATTCCGCGACTCGTCTCACGCGACTTGCAGCATGTCGTCGCTTATAATTTCTCGATTTCGAATCGCCCCTTTGTCGTGAACGTGCGCGTGTTGTGTGACTAAAGTACTTGTCGCATCGGCCCGCGAAATTGAAGCGACCGTCAAGCTTTACGGTCGGCGATTCTTCGAGAACCAGGTCACACGGAGAAACGTCAACTCCCAGACGGGTCGACCAATTACGAGATGATGTCTCCGCCGTGTCCTGATTCCCTAACTGTCAACCTAGATAAGGATCGACTCGGGTTATTTAACTTGCTAAATCCCCCCCTCGCTTCACTCTGCGGTGTACATCTGTGCCAGCGTAAGTGCTGGTAATCTGTCCACTAGATCCACCACGTGGTGACGGTGGAAGATCGTATTATTAATTGGGAGCAGAAGAGGGGGCTGCTTAGGCGTAGTGGTTTAGGATGGACTACTCGAGGAGGCTTCCATTCATACTGGTGACGAGTCAAGACTCATCGCTGAGCGGCTACGGGCGCCAATTTTCAATCGTTATGATTTGGACCGATCTGGAGACGTGCTGGGGATTTCGTCTCTCCGTGACAATCGGCACTGCATCCATTGAGCGAGATTCCAACATCGCTCTGGAGTCGTATGTACTGTGTTAGAGTGGCGTAAGGTGCGAGGTCTGAATAGCTCAGTGGTAAGAGCAGTTGCCCGGAAAGCGAAAGACTCGGGTTCGATTCCCGATTCAGCCACTTGTACCTCGCATATTTTTTCAGACCCGCAAATGTTGTTTTCTAACAATTATTTGTCGGGCTGAGGAAGTGTGTAAACGCCCTACACAGACACGACAGTGCCGCTGCCACGGAAGAGATGGATGCTTGGTTCGTGCCTCCTCCCGCCTTAAATCCCCCCCTCGCTTCACTCGAGGGCTTCTTGCGCAGCAATCGCTCCGTTGCGATCATTTGCATCACGACTTAGATTCTTCCCTTTCTTTGCACGAATTCACATTCGTCGTGTGAATAATATATCCCTCGAGCTGTTTGCGAGACGCAAAAAAAAGGGAATTAAATTAGAATATTCAATATAATTAGTTATAATGACATAAAGTTATTAAGCTAATGTATATATTTTTTTCTTGTTACAGGACGATCGAATTGATCGCTTTGGTAGCGATTTCCAGTACGCTGTTCCTCTTTCTGCACACAAGAGATCTACACTCGCGTCTGAAAAAGATGGAAGTGCGTCTTCAACCGGGGGAAGATGACGTGCTTTCGGCGAATCAGCTGTCATCTGGTAACGTATTAAATTATATATACGATAAAATTAGAACATACGATATTGAAAAGCCTCCGTCTCGCTTTCTTTTTCTTTATAAGGTAATAAAAAAATAGAAAGATATAGAAAAATCAAAAAGGATGACATAAGAAATAAAAGAGACATAAAAAATAAATATAAAGAAATTCAAATTTAAAAGTTTTATATCTTATTAAAAGAATAGAGATTAAATTTTACTATATGTTCCATATTCCAAAATGTAATATAATTTCTTAATCATCCCATTCAGATAATGAAAATGTAAATAAATAATATACAGTTAGAAGCGACAAGGACGAAACCGAGATAACCGTTAGAACTGTTAATTGGTAGGAACTAATTATCTATTTAATTACACAAACCGCACTCCGGTTTCCCGTCGCCTGAAAATGAACTACATCGGAATTACAGTCGTGTCAGTCTCGAGAGACGCACCATAATAGACACGTTTATACATGCGCTTTTATCTACTTGTACATACTCCCCGAGGGTGCTGTTAACTTCCCGGTTGAGGAAGGTCAAGGTGTGAGAGAGTGAACGCGGATAGAGGATTCGAGGAGAGTTACAAATGCTTGTGCGCATTTTGCGCACAGGATATACATAGATCCTCGCTAGTATTAAAAATCTATTTGTAATTTTCTTTTATCTTCTTTTCAATTATTTCATTAAAAGTTTATATATTATTGTTCTCCAAAAAAAAAAAGAGAAGAAAAAATAAAAATATCTTTCCGCTGTTGACATCTGAACGAAAAATCCAAAAGTGGTTGATGAAAGAGAGAGATTTTTTCTTCGCTTAAAGTATTCACTTACGGATGTCGCAGCATCAAAATGCTCTTATTAATGATCCCTAAATATCTCGTCGGATGCGTTTTGCACAAGTGTATGCATACACTCGCGTGCGTTAAATGAGAGAAAGAGAGAGATCTCTATCGCTTCAGTAGTTACCATTCCACATCCATTTCGCGGGATTCGTAACGGTAGCGAGAGCTTCGTTTACTCGCAATCGCGAGCTAATTATTCGTACACGTCCCGTCGTTCGCTTCACACGTGGTAAATCCGCGTCTTTGCCACGCTGAGTGTATTCATTACGTTGCGGCTCTCGCAATTACGTGTCCGTGGCGTCGCTTTATTATTATTTAAGGCCGTACCGAAGCGAACGCGAATCGTGTTTATTCGAGAGATCGAAAGTACGAGACTTATTATTATCCGCATATTATCTCAGGTATTCGACTTCTTGCGAATTCGGACGGTCCCTCGTGTATATACCTGCACGAATTGCTCTGCGAGAGGAATCACGTAATTATATATTTTATTATATAATTATATATTATATATTTTTTTTTTAATTTTTGATTACGAGGTAAAAGAAATAAAAATTAGCGAAATAGATATTTAAAAAATTTTTCAAAGTTTGAAAGTATTAATTTCACCAACAAAAGTTTCACGAATATCGTAAAAAGAATTTTTGATATCGTGTAAAAAGATCGCAAAATAAATGATTGTAAAATAATACGATTATTCCCGCAAAGTCGTGCGAAACAATCTTTACTTTCAATGGCATACCCACTCGTAAATTAAAAACGTTATACATGGCATAAAACAACCTTCACAGAAATTCATCTCTTCTCGCAATACAATGATTAACAATGTATTGTATTAAGAACGTGGCTTATAATTATTATAATGGCCAGCCGCATTACTTTCTACTAGAAATTTTCGCTCACGACAATTGTGAAAGAGTAAACACAGTTGGTCTCTCGTTTTTGTGAAGCGAAAGTCAGTGCGTTCGAACTCGCGTATTAGCGATCGGAGACGGAATTCGAGGCAATGTATAATATACATACATAATTATTTCCACGATGAACAGACTTTGATGAAAAGATTGCGTCGGTCACATTCGCGAGAAAGATAAAATCACGGAAAAAACCCAACGTTAAATTACAGTCTATTGTTTCATGTATAAAGCCCGCTCTGGACAATCTATAATTTGCGGAATATAAATTCAAAGTAGAATTCTATGCCACATTTGTGCTAATGTGTGTGTATTTTATTTCTTTTAATATTTTTTATATTTATATGTGATATTTATATTTATTGTATATATATATAAATATCTAACAAGTAAAATCTGCGCGATACACTTAGAAGCCGTTCACCAGAAGGAAAAGGCGACCGGGAATACACATGAAAGATAAAGGATGTTCCCCGGAGGCGGAATCGACTGGGGGGCAGTCGAGACTGGCCGCATCAAAGGGAGGTGAAAGGAAAAACGCCGGTGCGCGTGAGCGAGAATAAATCAGATGTGCGAGAAGAAGCGCGCGCATTAAAAGGAGAAATGGATTAATCGCTCGCGGCGAAATAAATAGCGATGTGAATGGAAATGAAAGTTCAATCGCTCATATACCGAAAGCGTGTTCTTATCGAAGAAATTCGCTCTCAACGCGCGGCGGGGATGAAAGGACGATGATTGAGCTCGAAAACGCATGAAGCGTGATTACCTGCGATTTCATGTGAAAAAAAAAAAAAATTTGCGGTGACAGGGACAGTGCGAGAAATGGCGTACTTATAATTACAATCATCATAATAAGATTGATTTTCTACTCTTGGGTCAATATAATAAGGATACAGATGGAACGTAATTAAACGACAGAGAGACATGTAGGATTTGGATGTTATTGATATGCAGGCGTGTAATTCCGTGTGTGTGATTAAAGCAAGAGGTGGAGAGGTTCGGCGGGAAATCTATTCAGCGGAGACGAAGTGGATTAACGAGATGCCTTCCACCTCTTCGCGGGGATGCGTTCGCACCTTCGTGCACCCCGATTCCCGATGTTATCACTCGGCAACAACTCGTAATACGTCCGCGAGGAATGCGCGGTGTCCGGCCTCTTCGCGAGCAAAAGATCGAGATCAAGAATGATCTATGGAGGAGCCATCTCGCTCGTGGAATGATTCGCCTCGGTCATGAAAACGATCGCGAATGCTCGGTCATGAAATCCGGTAAAAACCCGAGCACATTCATGAATAAAAAATATAATCTGTCTGGAAGTTTTTTTTTCTATATATTTCCAAATTTATCGAAATCCATTAATTAAACAATTACGCGAAAAAAAACATATATTATTTAATAAAGGATTTGAAATAAGAAGCTAATTTTGCTTTAATGAAGCTTCTTTACTACGTGTCATAAATAATCCAAGTTCTCTCTTATCATTAAGCCATCATGAAGAACTTTCTCGATATCGTGAGTAATAGTCGTATATATCGACTTGTAATGAGTCACATAATTCACCGTGTATAGCATCGTGTTATTTTTAACGAACCACTTAATCATTCTGCGTTCGGGTTCCTAAATATTTTTAAAAATGATTGATAACTGTGCAATTTCCTCTTCTCCGACCGCAGCATCACATTCGAAACAGGATTCCGAGAGCAGATCTACTTCCGTGTACCCGTTCACGGCTAACTTGATACGATTCAGCGCGGAATAAACACGTACGCGAGATAATTCGCAAGCTCTTCAGGCGCGAACAGAAATCAACAGTCAGTTTACATTCGACTTCGTTGGTTGCATTTATTTTAACTAGGAGCCAGCCAAACGTAAAATGACAATGCATGTAAGTGAAAGTAAAGTAAATATATTCCTTATACTTTATGCAGGTACACGCGATAAGAAATGTATCGTGTACCTGTTGAAAGCAGCTCTTCTTTGCGAGGGCTTTTGTTATAGTGAAAGCGACATTTCAATTGATACACAAAAGCACCATCTCAGAATCGATTAGGGTTAATCGGTTGTCCACGCGATAGTAAAATCATTCAGACGACAAGCATAATCGTGTAATCATTCACTTGCATATCTGTCAACTGGCTGAGCAGTCAATCAAACATCGATTGATCATCGGCAATTAATGTGAAATTGTTGAGTAAAATAATCTGCATATAAATTAAAAAAAAAAAAAAAATCTCTTTGATAGTTATAATTTTTTCATCTAATAAAATCTAAGTTTGAGGAAAAGACTGTCAAATGATTAAACTCGATAAAAGTTTCATATAAAGTAGTTTTCTATAAAGAAAAAAAAAAATTATATACTAAAGCTCTTGATTTTCCTGCAATATTATCGGTTTGATTAATGAGATAAGATCAAGATCGCATCTTTCTCCGCAAGAGAAGGAAGTGCCGTGTCACAGAAAATTAAACGCGAATTCGAGAACGACGTTCACCTTTTGTTCGTCGCGCGCTTTCTTCCTAACTGTTGTCATGCAATGTGCCATTGTTCCGGTCACAATCGGTCGGTCAGTTTAAGATACAGAATAGGAAACGATCCTTATTGTTCCCTTTACAATATACAATACTGTCGGACAGTCCAATTGGAAATTGCAATTGGTTAATCTATTATCGCCCACCTTCATTGAAATGAGAATGCATGCTGAAATTATAATAGCTTCACTTCTTCAGATGAATAGATCATGGTGACAATAATAATAACATTCGTTGAAGCGTATATATTATCGAAACAGAATTGCTAACGTGACACGGAACGTTTTCGTAAAAGTAGGTTAATTGCAAGATCTGTGGGTCTATTCTCTCAATACAAAGATCTTTTTTAGGAAAACTTTATGTGTTTATTAATATCAATCCATTTCAATTATCAGTTAATTCAAAACATTTTAAGGTATAATATATGTCAAGATATATTTTCTTAATTACTATATCATTATATAAACGTTTTTCTCTTTTTTTTTTTTCTTTTAGATGCGTTATTAACGTGAGCACACATTTTACGCGCTCTACTAAGTTAGTATAGTGCACTTTAAAACTGCAATATGATAACTATAAAAGGCAGAATAAGAGCGAAACTTCTCTGTAGGTCATATAAAGTTTTACGGATAGAAACAAGTTTAAACGTTCGATAAAGATCGCGTATATAAATCTTGAAATTAAATCGGATATGTAGCACGATATTACGTTAGTTGACTGT